CGCCACCCTCCAGCCCCTCACGTAGCGCGCAGCAAGGGGAGTGGCCCATGTCAGATCGACAATGGACACTCCGTTCCACCGCACGCACGTGGGCTCCGTCCCCCGGTTGAGGAGGTAGAGCTCGAGGCCTGCTGCCCAGTCCTCCAGGACGCCGTCCCGAGCATTCCCATTGGGGAGCTTAAGGCAGCCCAGGTGGGATGAGTCCTCTTTACTGAGAATTTTGCATAGCCTGGATGCTTCTGGAGCGCTCTCAATGTCTCTGCAGAAGTTTCTCTAGCTGTTCCTTTTGGCTGCGATTATCGCTTCGCTATATTGCCGTTGGGAGCTTCTAAACGCTTCCCAATCGGCCTTCGCCCCTGAGTTCCTCGCCCTGTTGAATAACCTTCTCACCTCCAGTCTAAGCCCGGCGAGTTCTCGACTCCATCAGAGAGCCCCGGCCGGGGCGTACTTCGGCTTCAACGGGCAGTTGATTTCATAGGCTGTTACTATAGCATCGCTGACGAACTGAGCCGACACTTCCAACTCCTCTTTCGAGTGAAACTTGGAAGGGGCTTCTTTCAGTATAGCTTTCAGGTCTTCCCTGTATTTCGACCAGTTCGTGTTTCTGGGGTTTCGGCCCCATTATTACACTTACCTTGTGTTCCAGGGTGTAGTGTATTTGCCTATGGTTTGATCCTGAGGGTTCGTCCGATACCCTCCAATCTCTCACCACTACTCCCTTTGTGCATACCGTTATGTCAATTACCTCTTGTCTTCTGCAGTCCATGAAAGTAGGTTCTGATCCTCTGTTCAGGATGGTAAGCCCAGTGTTCATTAGGAAATTATGGAGGCTCTCCCCCCTCTTGTTGATATTCGTGCTCCCCCACGCTATATGGTGGGAGTTGGCGTCACAACCCAAGAGGAGTTCGAGCCCCCTTTCCTCCGCGTAGGCCACCAGGTCTTTTATTTCTTTTTGTGGCAATGGGTCTTCGGCATCGTAGGGCATATAAGCTGACTCCACAAGCACGTCCTTAGTTCCCTCCGTCAGGTTTAGCTTCAGTTGTATAACTGTGATGTCCTCCTTGCTGAGCTGCGGCATAAGAATAGCATTTAGTCCCTTGACTATTATGCAGGTTCTTATCTTATTCTGAGTGTTTGGCTTGAAAACAGTGCCTCAGCCACCCAGTCCTCTGATAGCCTCGTTCAGTAGCCATGGCTCCTGAATTAGTGCTATTGCTGTCTGCATCTTAGCCATGCTCCTGGCTAGTATCGCCGAGGCGCTTTTGCTATGATGCAAGTTAATTTGAACCACCGGGATACTGAGGCCTGCCATGTCTAAGCAGTCCCCGCCTCCCCTCGCGTGGTTTCCTCCGCGTCCGCGACCTCCTTGCGTTCTTTGCCGAGCAACCTAACCGTCGCTCGGCCCAGACCACAGAAGAGTTTGAACCCGCAGGCCTTCACTACCTCCAGGGATGCGTCGCCGACAAGGGCAGCGAAGTGGGCGCTCTCGGCATTCCTGCTTTCGCTCCCCCTGATGATCACCCACTCCCTGGCGCCCAGGCCCGTATTTTGCCTGTCGAGGAGCTAAATGGTCTCCTCGACAGTCAAATCTGCCTCCCCCACATGCACTACCACCCGATGTCTTTTTGGTAGCTCATCGGCCGGCAGCGCATGCAGGGGAGTATCCCCTACCTTTATTTCGTCGGTCAGGCTTTTTAGCCAGTCCGCCGATTGCTGGTTGGCGTAGCAGGTGATAAGTGCACCGTCCCTTTCTCAGGAGCCGGTGAAGGTG